GTATCCATTTGACACTGGAAAAAGACAAATGAAATTTTAAAGATTATGCCATAGAATTAATTAATCAAATGATGACTTTATAAAATTTAAGACTGCATCCACAAAAAAACACATGGATGTACATGTACATTATTAACTGATTTATTATTATTAACCAATACCTGATCATTTCTACTCCTGCCTGTATGAAGTTTACCACCAACACTTCCAACAATTTCCTACAAAAACAAAATAATCCATATCTCTGCATGTATGTAGTAAATCCCCCTGTAAATGGACACATTTTCAAGGTAGGTGTCTGCAAATTCGGTGGCCAATGGATGTGTTCTTGGGCAAGACACTTTATTCTCAAATTGCCTCTCTCCACCCAGGAGTATAAACATTGTGTTGTGTTCTTGGGCAAGACACTTTACTCTCACAGTGCCTCTCTCCACCCAGGAGTATAAACATTGTGTTGTGTTCTTGGCAAGACACTTTATTCTCAAATTGCCTCTCTCCACCTAGGAGTATAAACATTGTGTTGTGTTCTTGGGCAAGACACTTTACTCTCACAGTGCCTCTCTCCACCCAGGAGTATAAACATTGTGTTGTGTTCTTGGGCAAGACACTTTACTCTCACAGTGCCTCTCTCCACCCAGGAGTATAAACATTGTGTTGTGTTCTTGGGCAAGACACTTATTCTCAAATTGCCTCTCTCCACCCAGGAGTATAAACATTGTGTGTGTTCTTGGGCAAGACACTTTACTCTCACAGTGCCTCTCTCCACCCAGGAGTATAAACATTGTGTTGTGTTCTTGGGCAAGACACTTTACTCTCGCAGTGCCTCTCTCCACCCAGGAGTATAAACATTGTGTTGTGTTCTTGGGCAAGACACTTTATTCTCAAATTGCCTCTCTCCACCCAGGAGTATAAACATTGTGTTTGTGTTCTTGGGCAAGACACTTTACTCTCAATTTGCCTCTCTCCACCAGGAGTATAAACATTGTGTTGTGTTCTTGGGCAAGACACTTTACTCTCAATTTGCCTCTCTCCACCCAGGAGTATAATAATAAATGAATATCGATGAACTGTTAGGACAACCTGACAAAAATACAGGGGGTAATGGCACCTGTGATGAACTATAGTATATACCTGCCAACTCACACGCATTGTGCGTGTGTCACACGCCTGCGGATCGAAAACATCGATCACACGCATACAGGACAATTTCACACGCCTGACTCACAATTCCGGGCTACTTGTTCATTAACCAGAAACGTGAAAAATTGGATTCAATTTCCACCCAAAATAGTCCAATGAACGTCGCTAAATGTCGCGTTTGAGTTCTAAATATAAACAAGCAAGATCGCGCCGAGATTTTTAGCTTCGCACCGCGACATTCGGCAGCCTTCGGAAATCATCGGAACATCTTCGGCAATGTTCGGAAGTCGTCGTAACATCTTCGGCAATGTTCGGAAGTCGTCGGAAATTTTTCGGAAATTCGGGTAATATGGATACGAAAATCACACGCAATCGACTTAGGAAAAGTTGGCAGGTATAATAGTATCCCATCCACAAATAAACAAGTAATTCCAAGGTTACACATTTAAAAAATAGTTGGTTGGGACCATTATAAAGACTTAGCGTCTGCTTCAGTAATTATTGCAACATACCTTTAATCTCCTCTCATTTGCTGTATGGATGTCTTCATCTGACGGTTGAAGGATGAAACTTCCACTAACCCACTCATCTTTAACCTAATGAGGAATGCAATATTAATACAATACAGTATTCATTTTCTTTCCTCGCATTCTGGGATAATTTTTCATAGTTCGTAAAATTTATCCTGAAATATTTTTTAGGGACCAGGGTAGCTGCTACCGGTAAACAAACCACACTTGTCAACTGGTCCAGAGTTTGGTCGTTTTTCGGTTTGGGGGCTTAAAAGGGTACCAATTTTCGATTTTCTTCCCTTAAATAGGTCAGGGTTCAAGAAGCTTTGCGGCACACACCTATCCTAAATTTACAGGAGGGGGGGAGGGGGACCACAGCGGAAGGGAACTGGGAGTGCAAGGTACTAGGAACGGAAAGTTCTGACTCCCCTGCCACCCCCCCCCCCCCCGAGGGATGGGTTGGATAGCTGTGACCCAAATGAAAACTTATTTACCTTTTCTAAACCACTCAAGATTTCTTTCATTTCATCATTGGTGACCAAGCCAACCTTCTCTATTCCCTTGACATATGCTTCACTTCCTTTTAGCAGAAAAATCATTACAGTGAGCAAGTATAAACTTAAGGTAAGGATAAATAATTTTAAAAATGGACATGCAATGCATGCATGTACATGTATAGCTATTTTTGGGGGGGAATGGTAAAAAATAGCATAATTGTTGAATGAAGGATCAACAGACTAATCGACCGACTGACCAATCCGCCAGCCAGCCAACCCCCAACTGACCAACAGATTGACGGACAGATGGACTGATTTGCTGACAGGCTGGTTGACTGACTGATGGGTTTGCTGACAGATACTAGCAGATGGACAGACGGGCAGACTGACTGACTGATTGGGTCGATGGAAATGGAAAGACAGACAGACGAAACAAAACAACAAAGTAATCAATTGAATTGACAGATATGTACAAGGGTGGGCCACACTCAATTACCAGGATGTCTTCCTTCCACATTCTTTTATCAAATGCAATGGAGGCGTTAAATTTATCCATCTCTGGATCCACTTCCCAGAAAATCGTCCACCCCACAGCTTGTTTCCCTGTAGAACAAACCACATTTTTTTTATATGTGACAAACTAGTGAAGTACATATATGAACGAATCGTATAAGAGTGTAAAGTGAAGAAATGATCCTTGCAGTTGTGACTGCAAAGAACCCTGAAAAAAATCCCCATTGAAGCCCTGATCTTTTTTCAGGCTTCTAGTTAATAATTCTATCATTTCTTCACTTTAAATTATTTTTATATTGTTATGTAAAACGTTATAATGCCACAGCAATGATCGTAAATATTTTGTGAAGCTGTTGAAATGCACATATCTTAAGCTATTTATAATGCTAGCTGTCAAATACTTATTTAAGCTAAAGCTTATAAGCTAAAGCTTATATTTTTATTAATTTATTAATTTTAATTAGCTTTACCTCTGTAGTCGCCATGACTGTAAATATCGCCCGTGGATATGATCAATCAGTCTGAGCTATTGGTTATTCGAACGTCTTTTCACAGAAAAAAGCAGAAGAAAGAAGGAAGTAGAGAGAAGGAAAACGAAAGAAGTCAAGAAATTCCACAGCTGTGATTCAGATTTCGCACGCAACCGCACGTGCGAGGTCACAAAGTTGTTTATGAGCCCGCAGTCTTGCGCGGAAAATTATAGAGAGAGGACTGGGATTGAACAAGATGGCGGACGGAACCGATGAAAAGTGGATGGAGTTCGCGTTAAATTTGGTGAGGAAATCGACATGGTAGCTTTTGCACCCTTATAGTGTTTAGCTAATTGAAGGAATAACTACACTCCTGCATCTAGAAAAGCAGCTCTGAGAGCCAGTCCACTTCTTTCACCAAACGGAGTCGCGCAGATCAGACACAAGTTGTCGACGCTTGCGACGTCTTGGCCAGGACTTGCGCACACTTGCGTTGACTTGAGATGACGTACGATGACTTACGTTCATTTTTATCGAGATCAAATTTGCGCGCAAGTAGATACAAGTTTTTCACCGTTTAGCCCCCCAACGCAAGTTAACTTCTGGTACTGAATTACAGCGCGCGCAGGAGCATATTGAAATGGCTTTTTTGCGACTTGCGTACAGTCGTGCGCTTGCGAGTAAATTTGCGACTCCTTTTGGCCACCCAACGCAAGTCTGTACACAAGTTCATATTTAAAAACTTCCGGTACCTACAGCGGGTATAAATAAAGACTGTTTGAAGACTTTTCTCTCATATTTGCAATTCTATTCTTTCAAAGGCAAAATATGCTCTGGACAAAGGCGAAGTACCTGTAGGGTGTATAATGGTCTACAAGAACCAAGTTATTGGCACGGGAAGAAATGAAGTCAACGAAACAAAAAACGCCACAAGACACGCAGAGCTCGTGGCCATTGATCAAGTGAAGCTGTGGTGTGGAAATCAATGTCTGTGTTTTGAAGACGTTTTAAGACAGTGCTGTCTTTATGTGACGGTCGAGCCTTGCATCATGTGCGCAGCGGCACTGAGATATTTAGGTGTTCCAAAGGTGGTCTTTGGTTGTGCAAATGAGCGATTTGGAGGCTGTGGGTCCATTTTAAATATTCACACTGACGATTATTCCACAGATACTTCGCCGCATGCTCCACAGAAAATCACCTCAAATAATGTTGGCAAGCCATCAGAATGTACTGTTCAAGAACACTGCATTGAGCCTGAGTCATCTGTGGATTTTCTTCAGACTGAACTCCATGTTACTGACAAATTACCACATGGTGCCACCTGCAATTCATATATTGACACTTCATGGGGTTTTGCCCAGGGAACCCCATCGGATACCATAAAACCATTGGATTTCATTTCAAAGAAAAGTTCTAAGAATACTTTACCGGGTTCTAAGATAATTTCGCGTAGTGCCGCAGAAGAATTGGAAGGTTCTCTCTCAGAGCAGCCATGTTTAGACGCTTCAATAATAAGAAATGTAGAATGCAGTGGAACCCAATCAAAGTTAGACAAAGTGAGAAGAACCCCATCAAGTGCTATAGGGAAACCATTTGAATGCATTCCTGGTATTTTAGCCAGCACGGCTGTTGACTTGTTAAAAGAGTTTTACAAAGGAGAAAATCCCAATGCGCCTATTCCAAAAGTGAAAACAAAACGACCGAAATGAGGAGACAGAAACCTGCTTATTTTATCAGTTTTAATAAAAGAAGCGAACCCAACATTGTGGTTTCTTTTCAAGACTTTCAAGGGCCACTTGTTTTTGTTTTTTGTCGGGAGAACCCAGAGAAAACCCTCGGAGCAAGGCGCCAGCAACTCAACCCACATATGACGCTGGGTCCGGGATTTGAACCCAGGCCACGCACATTGGTGGGAGGCGAGCGCCCGGGGCGAGCGCTATCACCACTGCGCCATCCTTGGTCCCCAGTTAAAGTTCGTCAATATTTAATGATTTGACTCGTAAAAATACCCAGCCGTATTTTCGACGTATAAACCTTTATGAAGGTTAATTTCAACATAGCTGAACCGTTCTTTCTGACATTAAAGTATCCGACATTTTGTCCGAAATCGCAAGAAATTGGGCCGAAAATTAAATTAGTACGAAATAAAACGTCCGAAAATAAACGCGTCCGAAATGTTTACCCTTTAGCCGTCTTTCAAACCTGCTAACAATGGGAAAGAAAAGAAGTGTCAATTTAATAGACCACCTACAAGTTATTGGAGTTGAGACAAAAAAATAGAATAGATCCATCCTTCATCTTTGTGCGAGTATTACAGCTGCCGTCCTACTTTTTATTTTCGTGTAAAGAAGTTTTTAATTTACCCTGATGGGATGGCCCGCGGGACATTGGCAGTGACAAATCGCCCAGTCTCGTGTGTTCAAAGGAGAGCGACTTGGCTGAAAATCCATCTTTGTAGTTTTAAATTACACCTGTTATAACGAGTCTCGACAGTTGGCAAACAGATGGTGCCCCATTCATAAAAGCCACACAAGCGAGACACCATTTTTTTTGTGCATGCATGGATCAGTGAACTTTCTATTTTCACATTAGAGAGAATAGAGAGATTAAGCATCACGTTTGTTTTTCCCGCAAACGGCAAAAATCCCACTTTTGCCGTCTGGCGTTTGCCGTTCTTTATACGTCAGAGAGAGTAGTTTCGCGTTTATCGTGAACGTGTGAATTATTTTCGATTTTTCGGATGTAAAGAAAATCGAGTGCAAGCTGACGTTTGCCGTTTGCCGTAAAATTATTGGTTTTTCGACAGCGTGTTGGAAACATGTCATTAAATTGGGTTTTTTCTGTTGATCTTGTAGATTTTAAAAATTTGCATTGCGTTTTATTTTCAGCTCGATTATCCGGCGGACTGACTGAAGAGGTGTTTGCATTAACATTAGTCACAGGCAGTGAATAATAAAGTAACATTTTTAATGATTATAAGCTCATGCTTCTCCCGGATTTAGTTGTAAGCCCAGTTGGTTTGAACGAGACTTATATTAGTCATTTTACATTTCTTAGTAAGTACTGACAAAAGAAGCCGTGGTGTTGCTATGCAAAACACTCGAGTGAAGTCGTTCAATAATTCCGTCATTTTGAAAAAAGGTATATAAATGCAATGTTTGTGTGCCAGGAATTAAGAATCCGATGTCAAATTTCATGTCTGAAAAACTTTTCACAGTCTATAACCGTAAGATTCCAAATTTATTTGTTACTGAAATTCGAGGGAGATGATTTGCAGTGTATGTAGCCCGAAGCGTGCAGTAAAGTTTACACGGTTTTCCATTCATTTATCCGGAGTCCAGCAATGTCCTTTGTGTTTGTATCAACTTAAGTAAACACAAACGCACGGACAGTTTCCAGTAATTTTTTTTCAATTTAGATTTTAGCAGTTAAGCGCTGTCGATTTTTGAAACTAACTTTCCTGACGTAGTAAACCTTTGAAACTTTGTTACTTCTTGGAAAGCGCAACAATTATGTTAGATCATTTTCTTTCTTTCAAACGTCTTAACAGCCTTTCTGCCTTAAATTCTTTATAATTGTCATTTTAAGTCGGTTTAGAGGATTCATTTTTTTAGCGGTAATTTAAAATTACATGCGAATGAAATATAATTCAGTCTTGCTTAGCTGTCGTAGTTTTGTGAGGCAGATGGATTAGTCGCTTTCAAGGCCGATTAAAACTTCCTACAAACAATAGTTGACTGGTTTAATTCATTTGCATACCGTCAAGACGTCTGACGTCTCAACTTCACCAACAACAGGTAACAAAAGTTTCTTAATCAAGGCCAAGGCGAACTTGATCTAAGCATTTACACGAGTTCCCCACACTACCAACTGTTTACGGATCAGAATTCGACTGATTGTCAAAGTTTAGAAGCATTATCGTATAACTAATCTTGCCGTCAACGAATAAACTTCGTTGACATCTTTTAAAAATACGCACGTGTTTTTCTGTTTAAACACAATGAACGGGGGGTTACTTCCTCGAGACATCTTTCATCCCTCTAAAATATGTCAGTTTTTGGTTACCATATATAGAGCCTTCATAACTCTGTGAAGTTTCAATATATCCATGACTTTAATCTAACTGTTGCGATGTTTAATTTCTACACGCAATATTTCGTACTCCAAGCTTCTATTTTTCTACTGGCCTTCTCTTTGTTATTGTGACCCCCACCCCCACAAACCCAACCGACACCCCTCCTCCCCCCTGACTAAACATTATTGCACAGCTCAAACCTTGTCCAGAGTTACGCTTTTCTTTTAAACATATTACACTGAAACAAATGCATAAAACACAAGTGATGTCCGCTACCGCGATCGTATTTGACAGAATTCAGAAAGAAATCCTTTAAGGGATCAGATGCCGTGTCAATTTCCGAATAAATGTGGCTTGGAAAAAAAGCCACTCAACGACGTGATTGACAGTAAAATACATTATGATGTCAGGTATTGAATACTGGTAGTTAAATAGTGGTATTTCCCTTAAACATTTATTTCCCTTTACGGAGTTGAACGTTTGATGACTGGCGTTGAACGACTGACGGAGTTTAAGACCCGCTGAAGAAGGATTCGGGTAAGTGCCATGTTATTTTATCTTCACTGACTTCTGAACAGTATTTCAGTTAACCTGACATCAACGTGATACTGAACTGCCTCAGACACATACATAAATTCAGACACAATAGTAACATTTTGACTGATTTTATAATCACTAAATCTCACAGCGAACAATGAACACAGAAAAAGGAAAACCAGAATTAAAAGTTTTACATGTTTAGAAAATTGTCCCTCCAAATTTAATCAACCAATCCCGTCTGTAGCCTGCGTACAGACGTCTCCTATTTCCTTGCTTCATAATTGTTTTCGGAGTACTAGTTATTCTCTGATAACTAGCACAAATTATACAAGAGCGAAATATAACGCAGATGGTGCTAAAATGACCCCAAAACGGCTAATAATAGATATAGAAAGTGAGGAAATTTTTATAATGTGTCGTGTAACTTGTCTCGAAATCTAGACTACGAGTAGTCCCTAATTTTTCTCAGATCGAGCGCGCGCGCGTGAAATACTCGTAGTCTACTCGAAATCTCAAAGTGATTCGTTATGTGACAAGTGTTATACGTGTTCAGCGTGTCGTTGTGGCGCGAAACTGGCCTGCCAGTGTAACAACGCCTTTGAGGAAAGAGTAGACTTGATGAGTTTTGGAATATTAATTTACAGCAGGAGGGCTACCGATATTTGGTGGCCGCTCTCACGAGTGTTTTCTTCAACTCTCCGCAGCGACTCTCGACAACTCTCAAGAAAACTTTGAGCAGGTTCAAATTCAATGAGAGCGCATGAGAGTCTCAGAGAGTCGACTCAGGCACAAGCCGGTTTTCACCGTTTTACGGAAATAGATTTTTAAAATGACTCAAAATCGAGGAAAATGGCATTTTAGAGAGTGAAAATCTAAAATATTTCAACGCTCAGACTCCTGAGGAAACCGGTCAAGTTTTTTCTGGATCCGCGCCTGGTCGCGACGCGAGTCGCTGAGAGCGCACGAGAGTTTCGGGCCAAATTGAACATTTTTCTTCGCCGGTTCTTCTGTTGTCCCTGTTATTCTAATCTCTGTAATTTAATTTGCCGTCGATTATTAAAAGAAACAATATTTCGTCTCAGAGCCTGACGTGGCTGTCGCGAGCAATTAGTTGAGTGGTGCCAAAACTAATTATAAAAGCGGCACTTTAAGCAAGGAGGCTAGTGATTTTTGCAGGTGGTATAAACTGAAGAGCAATTAACTGAAACCAGTAAAGCACAGGCCGCCGCCTGAACTGTTTATTTTCTTTTGTTCTGTAAAGTGTTTCTCACTAGTGGACACCTCTCTCGATCTCCTCCGTTTTTCTCTCTCTCCAGGCTCCGCGCGTTTTATATTTCCCTCTCCCCAGTCTCCCAGCTAGGAGAGACCTACGGTATCCTGTTCGTCTTCCTCGCTCGTTCATTGATTCGTAACGAAATTAATTGATAACTGGACTGAACATCGGAATGTTTTAAGTATAGGGTCGGTCAGGGGCTTTGGGCATAGGGTATACGAGGGGTTTTAATTGGGAATACGGTATTTTTACGCTTAAATATAGGTATTTAGTATATTTTAGAGATTAGTCAGTAGAAATCAGTGTACAATCCCTCGATCTAGAGCATATGTTCTCTTCTGTCGTGTTCTAATAGGCCATTTCCGAGTTGCCTTTTGCCTCTGTTTCAAAACGAGTCCAGGTGCACAACCTTTCATATGGAAATGAGTTTTTTCTGCAAGTTCATTGTCTTGCAAATCAAACTCATTTCCATATGAAAGGTTGTGCACCAGGACTCGTTTTGAAACAGAGGCAAAAAGCAACTCAGAAATCATAGTGGCCTATTAAATTGGTGTGTTTGGTAGATTTTTAAATCGTGAATGCGAAAGCAATGAACGAGTTATAGCATTTGGCGGGCAAATTTCACTCGCTCGGTCGATGGGCTGTAAACTTTATTAATCGTGCTATAACAGGAGCATATCACCCTGGAGCATCCATCTCCCTTATTGGTCCTATGACACAGCGTAGTTACACCTTGAGCTATTTTTATAATTACTTTTGCCGCGAAAATCACCCGTTGCGAGCACGAGGACGAGATTGTCATTCATGTTTCAGATTAAAAATAAAACCAAGAATCGACGAGAGGAACGTGGAATAAAACTAGAACGGTGGAATGTCGTTACTACGAATTATCACTATTGTCCACGGATGTACACGGAAATCTTTTCGCGGGAGAATGATTCTAAAAATAGCTCAAGGTGTAACTACGCTGTTGTCATTAATCAGTACAGATAGAGGCTCCGCCGGGGGTGATATGCTCCTGGCTATAATTACTGTGCGAATAAAAAAAACGTCAACACTTTGACGCTTGGAGTT